AGCAGCAATTAACCAGGTCCCCCTCTAATTGGAACCATGTGTGCCGAGAGGCGTGCGGTCTGCGTGTTGACGGGAGAGGAGACATGTCGGCCTGATTCGGCTTGCGAGGAGTGGGCGAACTCTGGCTTCCAGGGTACTCAGCACCTCAGCAAGGCATGCATCCTGCTCTGGGTCCTAGTGCACTGAAGAAAGGGGGTCCCGCCTTCCCTTGGCTTGACCTCACCCCCCCCTTGGAAAAGGGAAATGCCCCACTCCCACCCCTGCTCAAACCCACCCAGAGATTGCCGGAGGCCAGGCTAGGGGCTCCCTGTCCCCAGGCGTCTTCCACGACATTTCTCCAAGAAAGCAAAATCCCAGATCCCTAAGCCAGGGGGTAACTGTGTTAGGATCAGTTATGAATTCCCCAAATATGCAAGTTTTCGCACTCCGGTGCACTTTTTCATCAGGCCAGGAGGTGAAAAAGTGAGGAATGGGAAAAGAATGCATGGAAGTCAGGAAAAGTTTGGCTGTTTCAAGCTCAGCAGTTCGATGATGATGATGATGATGATGATGAAGAAGAAGAAGAAGAAGAAGAAGAAGAAGAAGAAGAAGAGAAGAAGAAGAAGAAGAAGAAGAAGAAGAAGAAGAAGAAGAAGAAGAAGAAGTCATGGAGAACTGCAGTTCCAAACACTTTTGTCCTCCATGAAGACTCTGGCATTTGATCTGTAATATGTTTTCCGCCATCTCAATGACGTGCTGCTTATGCTGATCTGGATGGTTCTTTTTAAAGTGAAATCACAGACTTTGTGGTTTTTTTTAAGCCTGCCAGACTTTTATGAAGGGAGAACATATACTGTACTAATTTTTCCAGTATGTGCCAAATTAATGATTTGCTTCGGATCTCTGATGGGCATGTATTTCATGTGGTGCTCATTTCTTCCCCAGCGATCCAATGAGGATAAGAAAAAGCAGTTCTGTGGAGTGCAAAATTAGATGCTTGAATTCACCTTGCGTGAAAAATCCTGGTCTGCCTAGCCGGAGAAAAAAGGGGTCTGGAATAGCGAGAAGCCCATGCAGGGCTTCAAATGATTCCCAGCAAACTTTTTGAACTTTCCCTGCCTCCCACGTGGTTTTTTTTAGTTCTTAACTCAAATCTAAGTATGTAAGTCAAGTCAATCTTTTCCTGTGAGAGCGGTTCTTAAGTCAAAATGTTCTTAACTCGAGCCGTTCTTAAGTCAAGACCCCACTGTAGATTGCTTTCCTTTGCAGGATCTAAAGCGAGGAGCTACACACTATTCTTCCATAAAAACTTGTTTTCCACATTTGGTAGATCTAAGCTACCAGCCCTTTCCCAGTTAGTGTCATTTCTGTTTGCTGGAGTTGTGCGGTGGGGCATGCAGACGGAATTTCTGCTTCCACAGAGTCTTTATTATTGGTATGTTTTGCTTCTCCCTTGGTGGGTGGGCTGAAGGTAACATACTGTATTTTGTTCCCCTCCTTCCTGCTGCTTGATCTTCACAACGGCCCTGTGAGATAGGTCCGACTGGAAGAAAGAAAAAGGTCCAGAGTCACCTAATGAGCTTTCTGGCCAAGTGGCAATTCAAATCTGGACCTCCCGAGCGCTAATTCCACACTTTAATCACTATACCTCACTGTCTTCTTTTGCGTCCATCGGTAACTGGAAATGTATCGGAAAAGCCATCCAGTGAAGCAAGACAAAGACAAAAAAAAGCAGTTTGTTGGGGGGGGGTGCACGTCAAACTAGATGCTCAGGAGAACTCCTGTGTCTGCCAAATTATCTCCAATTTCCTTAACAAACAGACTTCCAAATAAAGGCCCTCATTAACCCTGCAGTCATAAATGAAAGCATGCTAAGTGCAAAATACACAGCTAAGGAAAACTATATGCTAGGACCGATGTCTTTTGCCCCTTTTTGGGGCACATCTTTCCTCAACACATACTAGGCCTGTCCTCTGGTTTGACCTTGTTATGTTGATGTGCTGGAAAGATAATTAGGTTCTCTTTCAAAAGGTTGTGGAAAGCCTTAGGAAAGCAATGCGCATTCTTGAGAAATTTGTGTTTGTAGATGGTGAATGTATGGCAAATGCCTTATAGGGGGCGGTAGACACGGGCATGAATCTCAGAGGGTAATTGAGATGGTGATTAAATTAATTGAGTCTGTGATCTTGAACACGAAAAGAATAGTACATACCTAGTGTGTTATAAATGAGAAGCACTATCTCAATATTGTTTTTCTCCCCATTTCATTGGTGGACAAACCAAGGCTTAAAAGGTGGAAATCCTTTCAGCCACGGAGAGAAGATTTGAAGCTGGTTATGAGGCACTGCAATCATGCTTTCACCCCTATGAGGCTGGCATATTGAGGTGCCAAGGTCATGAGACCTATCTAGTGCTATCGTGCCCCCTCAGAAGGTAGCTATGCCACCTGCCCACACATACAGGTTTGTGGGAGATGAGCAGCCTGGAAGAAAACAAATAGCCAATGTTTTCCTAGTGTAAACAGAAATCAAAAAGGGAAGGAGCTTTCTGTTCCTGGTCACCTTTGGCAGATTCTCATTTACCATAGGCGACCTACGAGAAAGGTTGATTCAAAGCCTCTATTTGTACATGGTGAATGGATGGCAAATCTCTCTCTTCTTGTTTGCCAGGTACGAATGGTGAGCAGCCCCACACTCCCTGTCCACCGGACTCCCCCGGACTTCATAACGAGAGCTGCAACATTGCTCCCCTCACTCCGTCTCAGTCCCCGGTAAGCACAAGGACCCGAGAACGAGTCCAGGATTGTGCTAACGGCTCGTCGTGGCCAATAAAGGATGTGCCTTCTCTGTGTTTATCCAGTCTTGTTCCGAAAGCAGCTGCACACACGCCAAGTGGCTCAGAGGTCCATGGGCTATCTGCAAGAGCGAGGATGGCTCCTCTCTCTCTTTGCTTCTCTTGAGCTTTCTCAGAAGCCATTTTATGCACTGGTAAATTTGGAGGCGCATGTGCTGAGCATGACCATCCCCATAAGAAGCTGTCCTTTATATGAAGAATCCAAAAATAATTCCACACTGATCAATCAGTCTTTTGTAAAGCTAATGCCTCCTGATTGGTAGCTCACAATCACTGTCAAAAGCTTTGTGTTACGGCAGAGATAGCTTTTGACAATGCAACTCGGAAAAATCCAGAGGTCCTACCCTGCAAACTCCGGCTGTGTTGTACCAGTGGTTTTATGGTCCTTCAACTCACTGTGCTGTCACGTGTCATATCGGGTGGCTATGAGTTCTCTTAGTTATTGTTAAGAGCAGAAGCTAGGAACTTAAGTATGCACATTGGATTTGCTATCCGAGAATACTAATCGCATCAAAACCTCTGGGCTTTTAATGCCATGTATGCCAGCTGAGTCCCAGACTGGCAGATGCATGGTTTCCTAGCTGGTATATCTCTTTACCACTAATGCAACAGCTTTTAGAGCAGAAGCAGGGAAAACTGGCATGCAAGAGAGAGAGAGAGAGAGAGAGAGAGAGAGAGAGAGAGAGAGAGAGAGTGTGGGTGTGTGTGTGTGTGTGTGTGTGTGTGTGTGTGTGTGTGTGTGTGTGTGTGTGTGTGTGTGTGTGTGTGTGTGTGTGTGTGTGTGTGTTTTAAACTCACTGTTTCTCTTCTCATATTTTGCACTTTGCAAAGAGAAGTGGAGACACCAAAGGAAGATCATTTCCAGAGAGGCATTTGTGGGGAAGGGGCGCAACAGGAGGGGGTCAAACCTACCTCCTTCTTGCTCTGCAAATGGCCCACATGTGCATTCAAGGTTCTTATGAAAAGGGAATTTGAGAAGGTGTTTGCTGAGATCCTAAGACGTTTGGGGCACATTTCTTCTTTAGTCTTCACTTCCTCTGCAACTCATGGTTTTGAGAGGGGAGGGATGATGATGATGTCCCAGTCAGCACATGAGGCAAAGAACTCTTTTCTCTTTTGGCTGACTCTCACTGGAAATCCTAAATGACTGAGGGATTGTGCCTGCCAAATTCCGAACAAGCAGGGGCCAGCCTTTCTGTGATGCCTATGTCCAGTTTCTTTTCCAAAGAAAAAAAGAAGAAGAAAGAACTGCCAACACCTTTCTTATTATCAGGACTAGCAGGCCCCCTTTTTAAAGGCTTCGAGGTTGCCAGTTTTCAAGTTCTGAGATTTTCATGCAGGAGTGGCCTCTATTACAACAGGAGCCGCTCGGGTGTTTCCTCAAAAGAGTGCTGTCCTGATCCCTTGCAGGGAGGGGAAGGAGAGAAATGAAAATCGGGGAAACAGTGTACAGAACTGACATGACCTTAGTTAAAATTTGAGAGAGAGAGAGAGAGGTATAAAGTTGGAGTGGGCAGCCTTTCAGGGCTTGGGGTGTGTGTCTAATTTTCTGTCATTGAAGCCCTCTGGGAGTAATGCACCCCTCCCAAAATGAAATGGGATATTTCGGGATGTTAAACAGCGCTGGGGAATGTTCCTGAAGCCTCTTTAAAAATGTGGCATCTTGAAGAAGCTACAGTGCACTTTAACCGGGGTAGGGCAGCATTTAACAAGATGGGGCCAAAGGAGGTGGAGGAATGCCATCAACAACCTTTGAGGTCTTGTGAAGTGCCTATCTTTGTGGCATAGAAAGAAGACGTTGTGGGCAGAAAGAGGATGTTCCCATTTCAGGAGGGGAGAAAGAGGTCTGCTTCCCCTTCCCCTCTGGCTTTATTTTCATCATCATCATCTTCTTCTTCTTCTTAGAACTGCAGAGCTGGAAGGATCCCTATGGATCATCAAATCCAGTTCTGGTCAAGGAGGCCCTGTTGGGGGGGGGGCAATCAAACTCCCAACCTCTGGCTCTGCAGCCAGATGCTTAAATCACCGCACCATGTTTTGCTTTGTTTTAGAAGAGGGCAGTTTTAATGAAAATGGCATATTATGTCCTAGAGGTGCCCCTGAACTAGAAACCTGCACAATTTCCAAAAGGAAAAGGGCATAAGGAGCCTCCACTCAGTTAGCACAAAAGGAAAGTGCAGTTTTATAGGAGTTGGAGGTGAACACAGAGCAGAAAGGACCAGCGTATCCGGCATTTTTCACGCAAGCCCCCAGTTTGACATCCTCCCAGATCCAGACAACCCTTTTAACAATTCCTTCTCTCTGGAGAGAGACTTAGCAAAAAGCCTTGGATTGGGGTGTGTGTGTCTGTTCTGTCACACCAGCAAAATGTTCCCAAATTACTCCTCGTAAAACATTGACACTGGACAATGGGAGACAAGCCCTTTCCTGTGATTGGGAAAGAAGGAGCGCCCAGTCCCCAATTCCTCAACCTCGTGTTTTCCTTACACAGAGGAAAGGCTCTGGTTTTTAGAGACCCCAACCCTCTGATGGAAAATTGATCCTGCATAGCGACCAGATTTGAGGGCTGGCATGTACTTTGTTAGAGCCTTGCTTGGATTTAGACCTTTTCTGAATCTGTCCAGAACACCCCAAATTAGGTTGCGGTCACACCAACAAAATGTTTCCAAATTACTCCTTGTGAATTTCAACACACACACCCCATTTTTGTGTATGGTTCAGATGACAGACGGTCATTACCGATTCTTTGGTTCCCCCTCCGTGCTATCTCTGCATCAAATCCAGCCTGCTGGGAGGCTCTTACTGTTTTTGTTCTGTGTTTCATCAGGCAGTACAGCCGACATTCCATGGAGTTTGTATTACTAAATCCGTTCATTTCCATTGCAATCCTGCAGGCAGTCCCACCTCCCCAACCTGCTGTTGTTCAACCCCCTTAATTTTTTTTTAAAAAAATAATTGTCAAACGGGGAAGTGGGTCCCTTGATCGGCTTCTCTCAAAGGCGGTTTAAAGTCCTCGAGGAGGGTTTTCTTAGCCCACCACCCACCGCAAGCTTCCACTGGGTGGTGCTAAGAAGACAAATGCACTTTTGAGGTATTCTCTCAGCACAGGCAATGTACCAACACACCGATGTACCCACATAACTTGTTTGAAAAGTGTGGGGGGGGAACGAAAATGCACAGAAAAGGAAAAGGAAATGTCCTGCTTGTGGGGTGGAGACAAATGCAACACATCTAATTTACTCTTTAAAAAAGGTGGAATGGTGAAAAAAATGTATGAACCACTAACCCAGGATATAGGGCCACGTGACTACAATGCACGAGTATACCGGAAGCAGAAGATGCGAAACAAAAAGGGAGGCATTTTTCTGGTGCGAGCGTGGCCTCGGCTCAAGGTCCAGGATACAAACCTGAAACACAACTTTTGTTCATGTATCACATGCAATAGGATATTTATTTATTTACATAAATAAGATTTTTTTTTAAATGCAGTCTGTCCTTCCCAGGTAGCTTGAAGTGTCCCCACCCAGGATTCCCGCCTCTCCTTCTGTATGCTAGGTTTTGCCCATTTTCCGTATTCACTGCGGGTTAGGAAGCCCCCCTTGAATCCTTTGCTTTGTGTTTCCAGAGGAATGAAATCCGGACGCGCCGATCCCCTCCTTTCTCCGTGGTGGTGGCTATTGACTTTGGGACCACCTCTAGCGGCTACGCCTTTAGCTTTGCCAGCGACCCTGAGACCATTCATATGATGAGGTGGGTACCTTGCAGGCCTGGAACGAATCTCTCCCTTACCCAATCCGACACCAGACGTCTCAGGCAACAACCCCGCCCTCATCCTTAGCCAGACCAGACCAGCCGAGGATAATGGGTGCTGGGATCCTATACATTTTGGAGAGCCCAAGGTCAGGATAGCTGCCTCCTTTCGGGCAAAGGGTCTGAAACGTAGGGAGCGGCTGCACTGGAAAGCTGAACTGGAGTGATTCGGCTTTGCTGAGATTTGAAATTTGCCCATATGATGTTGGAAATGGCCGTCGGTGCTCACACAGGGGCTGCAGACGGATTTGGGAGTTCAATGCCCATATCAGACGGGAGTGCAATCCGTGTTCCAATCCACAGCCCCCCCTCTTTCCTTCCTTCTCTGGCCCTACCTCTGCCAATCTATTTACGGGGCGTAAACGTTAGAAATAATAATGGGGACCCAGCAATAAGGCGATGGGTTGGTTTAGCACTTGACTGATATATGTAAGAAAACTAACAAAATTTTAAACATTTGGAGCATGATCGAGAAGAGGAAGGAATGCAAGGTTGTGTTCCTTCGGTCCTGAACATCACGTCCCAGCTGCCAATGTCACTGAAACACCACTTACCGTCAGGCTCCCCCTTCTGTCTTTACACAAATGTATCACAACAACTCACACAGGAAAAAGCTGTCTGGATCGTTCTGGCTTGAAAACGTAGAAGCCCTTCCAGTGGCAGAGGGGGGGAAAAGCCACTTTGGGACCAAAAAAAGATTTGGACTGATTACAATCAGCCTTTGCGTCATGTGGTTGGTAAAAAAAGATACTTCAAATTCACTCCTTTTATTAGAAGAGTGAACTGGACAGTATTTCACCATGTCATTGCAGCCTGTGAGAGTACATATGATGTGTGTGTAGGAAACCCCAGTTCGGTCTTTATCATTGCTTTATCCTTGCTTTTCCAAAGGAATCATTCAGTTCAATTCAAAGCAAACTGAAGACTTTCACTAGAGCAGGCATCTTCATAGGGCTTGTTTCTTATTTTATTTTTACCCCACCGTGTGCTTACAAATGGCAATCAAAGTAGCTAGCTGTGGAAAGATCTAAAACACGGCACTGAATTTTAATATTCTGACACTTGCGTTAATTAACGTAGAATGACTCCCCTGCGCTCCCGCCCCACAAATGCATAACATCAGCCATCCGTTTCACACTCAACCGAGAATCTGAATGGTGTTTGCATTACAGAGGTGTGACTCAGGTGGGTGCTTATGACAGAGCAATCAGGCTTGCAAACAAAAGTCAGTGCTGGCCACCCACTGACCAATCACAAAACAAAGCAACCTAAACTGCAAACTGCAGGAGGTGTGGAAAAGATCCGGTGGGGACAAGCAGATGTTGTCAGCACTTAAGGAATTTACTCTCCTATGGGTGTGCTGCCTATAATGTACAATTTGTTTCTAAGATGTTCAACTCGTTTTCGGACTTCTCACGGCAGGAAATGGGAAGGCGGAGATCCAGGGGTGGCCCATCAGAAGACTCCCACCAGCCTCCTCCTGACCCCGGAGGGCGCTTTCCACAGCTTCGGCTACACCGCCCGAGATTATTATCATGACCTTGACCCAGAAGAGGCTCGAGACTGGCTGTATTTTGAGAAGTTTAAGATGAAGATCCACAGCACAAGCGTGAGTAGGGCCTGTTGATCTCAAATTTGCTGGGAGGGCAGAGGTGGGACCCAGGACAGCCTTCCTCCCAAGATGGTGCTTCTCCAGATGTGTGGGAAGGCAAGCCCTATCACCTACCTGGGCAACTGACACATCTGGAAGGCGTCGGCTTGGAATGAGTAGGCTGGGTGCTGAATGACATGCAGGACATGGGATTCAAACATACATAAAAAGTGAATTAAAGCTCTATGGGGGCAACCGGCTGACTTCTGTAATCAAGATCTCACAAAGCTGAAAATCAGAGCTGAACCCTGACTTTGCAGGACATGTCATAATAGGCACAACTTATAGGACGCCAGATTTCAGTTGAATATCAGGAAAAACTTCTTACCTGTTAGAGCAGTACGACAAGGGAACCCATGGCCTCGAGAGGTGACCGCAGTACGACAAGGGAACCCATGGCCTCGAAAGGCAATGAGCGCTCCAGTGTTGGAGGCCTTCAAGAGAAATGTAGACATCCCTCTGTCAGATCTGCTTTGAACTGGATCCCTGCCTTGAGCAGGGGGTTAGACGTGATGGGGTTGGACTTCTCGGACCACGAGACAGAGAAGCTGCCTTCCCCGGGGGGCTAAACTGGGTTTTTTAATATGGGACTTCCATTAAAAATTATTATGTTTACATCCACACCTGTCGGTTGCATGCTTTACCGAGAATATCACACCCTCAAAGCAACACAGAATTTTAAATTGCTGGTAAAGCCTGCACTGGATCCTGATTCTGCCTAAAAAAATAGAACCAGCCCGCAAACTCTTCAGCTCACTTTCTGCTAACCAAGAAGTGACTTCTGTCAGAGACATTGGGCTGGAAGGACCCTCCATGCTGTAATCAAGGGAACCACCTGGACAAGTTTCTAGTCCCCTGGAGGCAGAAGCTGCAGGTTGTGTTTTACCTATAGTGACACTTCCCACACCTATAAAAAAAAAAATCCCACAAAGACGCTAAGGTCACAACAGCACTGCCAGTTACCATTTGCTGCCAGAGATGGCATGGCTAGATTCAACACATTTCCATTCACCTACATCATGCACAGCTAATCATATGTTAGCTGGTCATTTTTTCTGTGGGCACTGTTCCCTTTTTGTTCGGCAAGCAGGGATTATTGGGGGAGGGGGTTTGATGGCAATTTTGCTCACATTGTTTTCCATTCCTGATGTGTGGGATTGCCTCTACTGATCCACCAAGACGATGGTGGGCATTTCCTAGACTGATGTTGACAGTAGGGTGTCACTTAAAAAATGGCAAGTGACATAATGGAGGCTTGATATAGCAGCTGATCTGTAACTGTAGCGCTTATCTGACATAGCGCTAGACTGGAA